AAGCAGAACAAGCTTTTAATACCCACAAAACACTAATGAAGAAAAAAAAAAAAAAAAAAAAAAAAAAACACGCAGTGCTTTACATTTGCAAAATATTTGCAAATTGATTGTATTTTATTTATTTTTTTCACATTTTTCTCACGCTACAACAGATCAACTAAAGTTTTGCAAAATACGGAAGTAGATAGATTTTAATTATTTATTTATGGAGAAGAAAAATCAAACTCTAAAATAATACTTTTAGAGTTATGATTTGTCACACATATTTCGGGAAGAGTCATGTTTGTATCAGTTGTTCACATATGCAGAGTGATGCTTCGAATAAAAGCTGAAGTTCAGTCTTTTTTAAAGGAAGAGTGTCAGTGAACATCAATTTATTAAATCTTACCATTGTCGTGCTGTTAGATAAATCTCCAACAGAATCTCAAGTGTTTTGCAGCTTCCAACAGGTTTTCTTCTACCATCCATCTCTCCTGTGACCTTTGACCAGCCTCCCCGTGTCTGCTGCAGAAAATCAGCCCAACAGCAGGACGGATTGCACCACTTTGCTTCACAGTTTTTCAGGCTGATATTCGATATCAGTTTTCCACACAGCTTTTTGTTTGTTGGGCAAAAGTTAAAGTTTGGTCTCATCTTACCAGAGCACCTTGTACCAGATGTTGCTCTGTTCTGTATGGGGCATGAATAATGTCATAAATGGGATTTCATTTGTCTTTCTTCCACAACAGTTTTCTTCTTGTTGTTCTTCCCTGAAGGCCAGATTTGTGAAGCGCACAACTTGCTGCCCCCTCATCAACTTGCCCCTCTTGAGCCGCTGATCACTGCAGTCCCTCCTGAGGTACAACGGGCCTCTTGGCTGCTTTTCTGATTCAGGCTCTCCTTGCATCGTCTCTCAGTTTAAGAGAGCTGCAGATGTGCCATCCTCTTTCAGTTTTAGGATAATGGATTTAATGAGTTGCTTAATGTTTAAGATACTGTTGCATGACTTAACACCAGCTATCGAACAACTCTATCCCTGACCCGTCTGCTGTGTTTCTGAATAAATGATGCCTTGTCCTCTAAGTGTAATGTCCTCCAACTCCCAATCCTTTCACTGTACAACTGTATTATTATTGAGTTTAACTTACACTCAGGTTGACTCTATCCAACAATTTATTGACGCCTAAAGGCAGCTGATTATAGTGAATTTTATTTATGGGCATCAGGGAAAAGGGGCTGACTATAAATAAACACCACAACTTTGAGAATTTTACTCATAAAAATGTAAAAATCCAAATTTGTCTAATCTTCATTCAGTTCCACAATTATGAACTACTCTTCTGGTTAAGCACACATCTCTAGACCATCTACTGATGTTGTAATGCCACACATAGTGGGTGTAAATCCTTTTACAGTGCACTGTTTGTATCCAGATGTCTGATGCTTGGTCAAACAGAGGGTTAAATCACCTCTAAATGCAATTTATATTTCTGTGGAAGCAGATGTTCTCATGTGTTTAAGATTATGAGGGTAAAAAAAAAAAACAATTGAGTGGCTCATGACTTGACTTACGCTCCTGTCAGTGTTACATAACCTACCTACAGCTGTTCAAGTCTACAAAAGTGGGAGGTTATGGGAGTGTTTTTAATTTAGCATTGCAGTAAATCTTCAGAGTAATTTTTTTTTTTTCCTGAATCGAAACTTGTACAATGACCTTGAAGCTGCAATAAAGCAACGATCCATCACAAACTGCCAGCATCTGGAGCCTGAGTTGTATCAGTCTTCATTTATTGTTCTGGCTTGCCAGGAGCCAGATAG